CGGGCCCCCGGCCGTGTCCGCCTCGCCGGCGCACTCCGCCTCGCCGCCCGCCCCCGCCGTGGAGCCGAGGAAGCCGCAGATCCCGCTGATGCCCATGAGCGACGCCCGGAGCGACCTGCTGGCAGCCATCCGCAGGGGTGAGTGCGGCACCGGCGCTTCCCCGCCCGGACAAACGGCTGGGGGGCACCGGCTACACCGAGGGCAAGGGGAGCCAGGGGATGGGAGAGAATGGGGGGACCAGGGCAGGGAATAAATGCAGTACAGGGCTGGGGGACCCATCTTTGGAGGTGGAATGAAGCCCCACAGATCACTGGTAGATCTCAGACACGTGGCTTCCTTCCAGGGTGTAGTGGGTGATGCGCTCCAAGGTCTCTCACATTTCCCCTTCCTGCAAATCTTTAGGTGGAATGGTAAATTTAACCTTCCAGAAGGTTCAATGTCTTCTGGTTGAGTGGAAGCAGAGGAGGAGCTTTAATCTATGATACAACTTTGTAATCACACACATTCACAGAATACTGAAATCTGGATTGGAAGGGACCCTAAAGCCTGTCCTGTCCCATCCCTGCCATGGGCAGGGACACCTCCCACTGTCCCAGGCTGCTCCCAGCCCCAATGTCCAGCCTGGCCTTGGGCACTGCCAGGGATCCAGGGGCAGCCACAGCTTCTCTGGGCACCCTGTGCCAGGGCCTCCCCACCATCACAGGGAAGAATTTCTTCCTGATATCCAATCTAAGCCTCTCATACAAATTTATAATTACTTGCATCCTTCTGCCCAGGGCAGCAGCCGACTCCTTTCAGCCAATGCTTTGTAACTGGGAGAACGCTGCACATTGGGTGCCCTCACGGGTGCCTTTCCCCTAAAGCCTTCCCWTTTTTCCTGTAGGAATCCAACTCCGGAAAGTCCAGGAGCAGTGGGAGCAAGAGGCCAAAAAAGAGCCGGTGGGCAATGACGTGGCGACGATCCTGTCGCGCCGGATCGCGGTGGAGTACAGCGAGTCGGACGACGACTCGGAGCTGGACGATAACGAGTGGTCGGACTGAGGGGCCCCGGGCTGGGCTGGCTCGGGGCTCCAGCTCCGTTCCAGGTGTGTATAGGCGCCTTCCCCACCGCCGCTGCCAGCTCGGGCAGGAGCTTTGCTTTTACACTATGTCAAAAACCCTTCGGGCAGCAGCAGCAGCAGCACTGGTAGGATACACCTCAGAGGCAGTGAGACCAGGAATTAGCAGCACCTTCACGGTTAATGACTTCCAAAATTCTCTGAAGGCAGGTTAATAGGATGACTCCGGATTTACACCTGGAGTGAGAGCAGAGTCTGGCCCTGCTTTGCGAGAGAAGGGAGCCCAGAGGCAGCAGTGCTTTTCCAGCTAAGTGTTAATTGTGATAACGAGGAGCTCCTGGAGAAGAAGCCTTGTTTGCACAGCTGGTGCCACCTTGGGAGCGCAGGGGTGGCCGTGTGGGCTTGGGGACACTGCTGCTGGAGGTTTTGGGGTCAGGCAGCTCCAGAGGAGCAGGAGCCTCCTTCCCTATGGAGCGACGCAGCGGTCACATAGGGACGGTCACCAYTGTGCTGYTGCTCCCTGGAAAGCYGTGGAATGGTTTRGGTTGGAAAGGMTCTTTAAAGCCCATCTAGCCCAGCTAGAACTGGGACACCTTCCATGAGCCCAGGCTGCACGAGCAGCCCAAGGTGCTGGTGACCCGAGCCTTAGAACTGGATTTCTGGGAGCGAAGGGTGAACGAAGGCTGGCAGGGAGACGCAGCCTTGCCAAGGCTTCTCTCGCCTTTTCCAGCAGGGACTGGAGGTGTCCAGGGAGCTTCCCCAGGCCCAGCTCTCCTTGGCCTTAGAGTGACACCTTTTCAGTATTATTTGAGAAAAAGTGAATCAGACAATCTGCTGCTTTCAGGTGAACCCTCAACATGCCCTTTGCAGCCCCACAGACTGTGYCTGTACAATGGAGATCAGCTCAGACCCAGGCACTGATTCCCCTACTCTGCTCTGGTCCCTGTCSCACAGCTGGGCACTGCAGGAGGAGCTCGACAGCCAGGCCCCTATTCCAGCCCTGTTTTCCCCTAAAACAGAGCTGATGATGACTGYTCATATAACAACAGAGAGAGGAGGCACAGGAAAGCAGAGCAAAGGGGTGGGGAATTCTGGAAATATCACAGGTGTGACAACCCACAGAGAGCCTGGRGAGGATCCTCACCTGTGGAAAACGGGCCAGGACCAGCCGTGGATTTGCCACTGTGRTGTCCCCAGGCTCTGTCTCGTGTTCCCCTATACCACGAGTCCCTGAATGGGAAAATCCTGGGCTCTGTGCCCGGTTCCCTGCCTCTCCCAGTAACCCTGGAGTTGGTGGCTACCACAGCAGGATTTTGACTATGTAGAAGCAGCCAGACCTGGAAAGGAGGTAGGAGGATATGGCTGAGACTGAAATGCTGATCCTTAAACTCACAGAAYCTAMAATGGTTTGGGATGAAAGGGAYCTTAAAGACCATCTCATTCCAACATCCCTGCCTTCCACTAGAGCAGGGTGCCGGTTTCCTGGGAAACACTGGTGTTGAGCAATGTCCCAAACATCTGTTCATTTGCCCCTGGTGACAAACCACAACCAGATGTGGTGAATCCTCTGCCCAGCTGCTGGGAAATGCCCCCAGGAGCTCTTCCTGGCATAAAATGACCTCTTTTCCCTAGGAGTGACACTTTGCACACCTCCACACCAGGGCTGGGAGCTGCAGTGCTGAATGTGCCTGAGCAGAGGGAGAGAAGGGATTTGGGAAGTGGGAGAGGGCAAGGCAAGGAGCAGCAGAGCAACAGGATGTGTGGAATAGCTCATCTGCAAAACCCAAAGAGCAGGAGAGACCAGAGGAGRTGGCCAGGAAATTGCTGCTGTTCACTGAGAGCTCTCAGTTCTGATGCTGATTCTCTGAGATGCAGGGAAAAGGCTGCAAAKAGCTTTTTTCCAAAGGCTGGCCCAGMCAGAGCCCCTGCAGAGCCCAGGATATGCTTTCCTTGGGAAGGCAGCTGGGGTTTGCCTGGAGCAGRGGCAGAAGGAGGTGGTGTAAGAATTCAGGGCAATGTTAGAGGTGGTGGAGCGTTATTAACCCAGACACAATCACAAAACCGTTTGTAAGAGAGGAGAAATTTGGCGKTTTTAGGTAATTTAGAAAGAGTAGTAACTCTGTGTGAGAGAGAGCAAACAGCAGGGGCTGCTGTAGCTGCTCTGACCCGTTAGAGAGGACAAAAGCCCCAGTGGGACCCCACAGAGCTGAGGAGCCCCCGGGAAAGGGCTCAGGGACCCACGGGACCAGCCCATCCCKTGGCTCTGGGGCTGTCCCAGCTCTGCCAAGCTGAGCCAGTCCTGGTGGGAACGGGAGGGCAGCCCAGTGCCCCAAAAGATCAAGGCCCTTCTTTTCATGCACCAGTTGCTCTGTGAGTGTCACGTGGGCCGTGGTAATTGGGACAGGGCTCCTTTGGTGTGTGGCAGGGCAGGGCTGTCCCTGGAGCCTCCTGCTGCCCTGTCACCTCCCAGCAGCTGTGCTGGGCCTGGGATTGGCAGCTGTCAGTCACCCCTGCTGCTGTCAGGGTCGATGCCATTGTATGGCGAAGGGTTTGGCAATTGTAGGAGGGTTGGAAGGGACCCTAAAGGTCACTGAGGTCACTCAGGCCTTGCCTGCCCTGTGCACAGGACACATCTGGGAGCCCCAGGGGGCAGGGAAGGCTCACCYCCATCTCCTCACACCTTTATGTTCTCAGCATCCTCTCCCTATGGGGCATCCCAGCAATTCCAGTCCACCCTCACCCACCCTATTGTGAAGGAAATCCCTGATTTCCCAGAGCCATTTCCCATTCTCAGCTCCATGGTGAGCCAAAAGCACTGTGAGCTCCCAGCACTGCCACCTGATTGGAAACATCACAATCCTCCTCTCCCAGGATCTGAACTGCCATGGAGACCCTTAAGGTGTGATAGCGGGGATGGATCCCTCATCCTCATCCCAGAGAGGTCCCATCAGTGTCGGGTGGAGCAGGAGCYTCAGGGTGGGTGTGGACACCCATTTGTGGTGTGACCATGGCACAGCTGACCCTTCCCAGCTCTCCCACCCGCCCCACAAGGCAGACAAGCACCAGGAATCACCCAGGCTGCAACAGCATCACCCCACTGAGTGTTAATGCCCCACTCTAGCACCCAGAGCCCCAATCCCACAACAGCCATTCCACCCTCAGAGCCTCCCTGGGGGACTCAGCCACGCTTGGCCAGGTTCACCTGAGGCAGATCCACCTGCTTTTTGCTCAGGTGACCTTTGAGATCACCAATTCCTCTCTGCTGGGCCGGTGCCACCCTAATTAACACTGTCTGTCTGCCCCACATGCTGCACTCTCAATATTTTGTACATATGTGCCTATTTCTGTACATTCTCCCCAAASTAGGCCACACTGCGTTACACAACCTGAAATGCTCAAATCCCCATGTGGGCTGATATAAAAGTGAATATTTAAATATTTTATCTAGCTTGGCAGACATTAAAAAAATACAATCCAGGTCACAGATGATTGAATTTCTCCTCTCTCAAGAGTACCAGAATTGGGCYGAGGAGATTCTCCTGTACATTAAGGTATTGTGTTCCCTGTTAAAATGTAGCAGTGGCATTTCATTGCCAAGGGATAATCACAGAGTGCCAAACATTTAATGAGCCCAACCCATCTCCCCAGAGTTCCTCTTTGCATTTTATCTGCYTCCCCCTACTTGCCAATTTATGGGCATAGATTAAAAATAATAAATACGGCTGTCAACAGAGGGGGAAATATCCTGTGTGCATACAGATGGGTTGGGCTGGAGGAGCCCAGGGGAGCAGGGAATGAGCCATTTTGGTTCTGCTTGGAAATACTGATGGAAGGCTGTGGTCCTTGAGGTCCACCAGGGAGCTCTTGGACATCCCAGGTTCATCTGAAAAGGGACATTTTGTGGACCACTGTGCCCATAAGTTGCACCAGGTGTKAAGGCAGGTCCTGCTCAGGTTTCTGAAGGTTGGTGGAAGTTGTGCAGTGTCCACCCCTGGYRCTGGAGCRGGGGCAGAAGGAGGTGGTGTAAAAATTCAGGGCAACATTTGAGGTGGTTCTGATGGAGTGTTATTAACCCAGACACAATCATTAACTTGTTTGTAAGAGAGGAGAAATTGGGCTTTTTTAGGTAATTTAGAAAGAATAGTAACCCTTTGTGAGAGAAAGGCTCAGTGTCTACCAGGCTTTGAGTGACCACTGGAGCTGGCTGGTGGTGCTGGTGRCTCTTGGAGGGTCAGTGTCCTGMAGGGAGAATGCTTTGGGCAGTTTCTAATTCCTAATTTTTCCATCCTGGGAAGAGACTTGGAGAAGAACAGACATCCCATCCCATCCCAGAGAGCTCTTGCTTTTGCAGCTGCTTCATCTCGGGAAGGTTTCTCTCCAGCGACAAACATAAGGCTGAGCTTGGCTTCTTCCGAGAGCTCTTTCCCCAGAAGAGCCCTCAAATTTCCTCCCAGCAACTTCTCCAACTCTGACTCCTTTTCCAGACACCCAACAGCCTGAACAGAAACTTTGCAGCCTCCCCTGAGCCTGAATTAGTATCTCAGCTTTAATGATGAATGGAATTTTTGCTTGGAGGGAGGCAGGTGGTAGCCCTGGTGGTTTTGGAGGTGCATTCCAGAGGTCCATGGCTGGCAGGAACATGGTGCCACTCCCTTGAGGATGSACCATGGAGGGCATTGGGAAGCACTCCCCATGCTGGGATGCTGGCCAGGGGAGCACAGGCTGTTCCTTTCACCGAGATTCCCATTTTTCCTGTAGCAGTAGTTATTTAGGGGTAAGGTTTTCTCAGCTGGAATGTCACTTTACAGATTACAAAAAATAATTAAAATAAAAGTAAGGGCAAGGAGTCTGTCCTGAGGAGTTTACAGTCTACAGCAAAGACCATGTAACCTGCACTGCACTTTAGAAGCCTCAAACACTCACTCACCCATGAATTTACCCTCGACTGGGCAGCAGCCCCTCCAGGACTGTTGTCCCTCCCTTTGGTGACCCCTGACCAGCACCACAACCACGTCCCCCCGCTGGTGACAGCAGCGGGGCTCTCCTGCCCTCACTCCCCCACGCAGAAGTGCCTGAGCAAAGCCCAGGAGAGCCAAGCCAGGCTGGGTTTGTCTCTGAACGGGTCCTGTGGCAGCCCCACACAGCTCTGCTCTCTGGGATGGCCATGGATGGGSTGGAATCACCCCTGGAGCACTGCAGCACCTGCCAGCCCTCGGGGCTGCCACTAATTCATGTGACAGCCTCTGGCAAATGCCCTCTCTCAGACACTTATGACCAAACCTAGACCTTAAAGTAATTCAACCCTTTTGAGAATCAGAGGTTTTGTTTGTTGTTTTGTGGATCTGATCTTTCCCGGACAAACCCCAGGATTTCCAGGCTCACCCTTCCAAGCTCCACCTTCTCTGGGTGAAAATTGTGCTGCTGGGAATGAAAAAATGAAACAAACCCCACAGCTGAGACCCTCAGGGAGGTGTTTGTCCCAAAGTCCACGGGCAGGGTGGCAGGAGCACAGTGGGATGTCCCCAGGGATGGTGTCSCCAGGCTGAGGCAGAGCCTGCAGCAAGGGACCAGCTCTTGCTGAGGAAAYCCCCATGCAGGAGCTGGATGGGAAATGCTCAGCCAGGTGTCCCCTGAAGGCAGAGCTGAGGTGACATTAGCCAGACATTGAGGTGACATTACCCACATTGATGTCTGAGTTACAGACTGGCAGCACCCTGGGGCCGTGGAGAGCCGCTGATCCTTCACCCTCCCAGTGAGGATCCTTCACCCTCCCCACAGCTGCCACCTTCCCCAGGCTCTCTCAGCTCTCTCTCTTCCCAGGAACAGGCTCAAAGCTCTCACAGGTTCTTGTGAGCCCCAGTGAGTGGGAAAGGAGCCTTTCCCTGCCCATTTCCCACGGTGGCAGTGTCAGGGGAACCCAAGGGGACTTTGAGCTCAGGGGTGGCTCCAGCACCTGGCTCTGTGTCAGGTTGAGGGTGCAGAGAGGAGAAACGAAGCACAAAGGAACCAGCCCAGCGTTTTTAGCTTGGTTATGATCACACCCATCCTGTACAGGGGAAACCTCAGCCAGGTAAAGCCACAGAGGGCAGGGGAGGGAATAAATCAGTTCTGCAGGTCAGGGTGGGATTGAGCCCTGGCAGAAAGGAGCTGAGCCAGACCTCAGGGAGAGCTTTCCAAGGTGAGGATGGAGAAACTCAGGTCACAGGGTTCTGCCATGGGAGGGCTTTGAGAAGAAAAGAGAAGCTCATGGCTTTGTGTGCAGCCAGGGAGGGCTGGAGGTGCCCACAGGGCATTTCTGGCACGTTTGTGATTCTGCCTCATCCCCTCCTTGTGGGTCTGTCCTGGGGTCACAGCCCCAAAGCATCCCCCAGCAGCCAGGGCAGCTGCTTCTGCTCCCCCTTGGGAGCAATTTTTGCATTTTGGTAGTGGCCCTCAAATGCTATAAAGATAAAAATTTTGCAAAACATGGCAGAACAAAGAGCTGAGAGGGAAGGATGTGAACAAGCTGGAATTCAGCTCTTACTGCTGTATTTCAAGGGTTAAAAGGCTCCAGCAGCTCCTCTGGACCATTCATGATCCACAGGCTGTAGTGAGTAAACCATTAGGGTAGACAATTTAAAATTTACCCTTTGGTTTGGGGTAGCTCAGTTGAGAAATCTAAAAATACCCMAAAAATCTAAAAATAAACAAACAACAACAGCGACAAGAACAAAACCCACACCAAAGTAAAGAGCAAACAAACAACTCACATGTGATTTCCAGAAGGATAAACTGTTCCTTTTTCTTCCCTCAGACCTCGAGGGAAGGTCAGACACAGCAACACTTCACAGCAACAGAACAGAGCAGGTGTCACCAGAACCATTTCCAAATATCAGATCCCAGGGAATTGGTGCTTGAGGAAAAGCAATAATAACATCACCCCCAGTGCAGCAAGGAGGGGTCTCCTATTGCTGTAGGAGGTGCTTTTGGCCCTGGAGACCCCTCCACAGCTCAGGAGTTTCAAATCCCATCGATTTTTGCCTCTTCCCAGCGCTGGTGCAAGCCTGAGCCTCATGGGAATGCTGACTCCATGGAAAATCACTTCATGCCATGGAAAAACCATGCAAGTCTTGTGTCAGGAAGGAAGAGGGCTTTGAGCTGGGGGGCATTGCTGGGATGCCCATGGAGGAGCTGCGGATTTCCTGCTGGCAGCTTTGGCACAGCCCTGCCAGGTCCCCAAAAATCAGGGAAGCATCAACACCCCCTCTCTGCCCCCCACCCCCAATCAAATTTCATTTTGCACTGAGATGTTTCAGCCCTGTCTGCAGTTCTGTCCCGTTTTCCACAAATGGGGCTCCTCTTTGTGGTGGGTTTGTCTCAGAGCAGAGCAGATGAGGACAAGAAAGGAAATCACAGAATCYCAGACTGGTTTGGGTTGGAAGGGACCTTAAAGCTCATCCCATTCCACACCTGCAAGGGCAGGGACACCTTCCCTGGGACCAGCTTGCCCCAGATCCCATCCAACCTGCTCAAATACCCACAAATGTAAAAAAAACAAACAAACAAAACCTTTCCTTCAAAATTTTCAGGGTATTTTGGGGCTGATGGCTCCTCACCTTAATAGACTTCYTTAATTTTTGGGCTGCTTGCCGTGTTGGGGGGATCTGAAGCAGGGTGTCCCCAGCAGGAGTTTGGGGTGATGCTGAGCTGTGCTGGCACCTCCCTCCCCTCTGCTTTCCCTGTCACACAGGGGTTGGGGACACCGCGGGGCCGGGCCAGCTCCTTCGGACACAAGTGCCTTTCCCGGGCTGGGGGATGTCGCTGTGCCGGGGATGGGCAGAGCTCGCCTGGGATGGAGCCCTGGAGCTGCCCAGCCCCCGTGGGACCCTCTGGGACCCCTCCTGCCCCGGGAGCGGCTCGGGGAGCTSTTCTCGCTCCCGTCCCGGCCGAGCCGGGCAGTTCTGCTCCGGCAAGCTGGGTGTGAGCGGCACCGCTGCCCCTGCGGCACCGGGACACTCACGGGGGGCGTGGGGAGGTGACAAACCCTGTCACCACTGTGCTCTGGGGTGCTGCTGTCATGGGACAAGCGTTCAGGAGAGCCTTCCTCCTCCTCCTCCTCCTCCTCCTCATCCTCCTCCTCCTGCTCCTCCTGTGCCAGCCCAGCGCTGCTGGGACAATGCCAGCCGTTCCAGCGGGACAGGAGCCACCTCGCTCCAGTTTTCCATCCCATTTCCAGCGAGTGGAGCACAAGAACCTCTGGGTGAGGCCAGCTGCTGTTTTGGGGGCAATGAGGACAGGTGATGAGCATCTCCTGTGCCCCATAGTGCTGCAGACCCCCAAACCCCCTCTGCACTACCCAAACTCAGCAGCTCTGAGCTCAGGGGATCTCCTGGGACACCAACGCTCCTAAAACAGAGCATCTGGGAGCTGCCAGCTCCAGCTGGGCATTTGAAAAGCAGTTTTCTCCCCTTTTGGCACAGCTGATCACACACAGAGCCCGGAGCCAGGCCTCGGGCTGCTCTTTGTRGGGKTTGRCTCCAGCTCTGCARGGGTGGCASRGRGGRSASRGRSACMCC